ATTGTGACCATCATTCATGACAAACGACTAAAATGTGTAGCGTCTAGAACACCTTTTTTTTTCGAAAAAAAAAAAAAAAAACATTCGAAAACGATGCAAATGAATTCGAGTCGAACACCTTTTTGATTTTACGAGACGTGTAATCTTTTCCATTGAATGAAAAGAATTGTATTAAAACGGGGAGGGGAGAGGAGGAAGGGGAAGAGCAAAAAGGTAGGGAGAAGAATGAGAAAAAACAAAAATTTTTAATTTACAAAATCGTGAACGTGTGATAACATGAAGGTTATCAATAACTTATTATTACTACCATAATTTTGTCATAATCATTTGAAAGAGACAAGCTTGGAAACCCCCCCCCCATACCCCCCAAATAAAAAAAAAAAACGCCACCATTACAACGACACACACACATCTTATTATTATCATTCTTTAACTTTTTTTTTACGATTTTTTTTCTTTAAAAAAATTTCTTATCAAAAACGATTTAAAAAAATAATAATAATAATAAAAGTATTATCGACTTAAAATAATAATGATAATAATAATAATAATAATAATATCGACAGAACGTTTTTATTCCCTACACAAAAATATAAAACGCCATATTGAGAGAGAGAGACACAAAGAGAGTGAGAGAGAGAGACTCTCGCATTCCTTTGTCGATTATTTAACATTTGAAATAGACAAATGATATCACGAGTTTGAATATTACGGTGATTTATATATATATATTTATATTAGATCTTCTCAACGGTAACAAACAACAAACCAACAACCGGACAACAACATCATCGGAATATCAATTACAAAAATTCAATTTGGAATCATGTTACTCTTCTCTCGTTTGATTTTTTTTTTTTCTTCTTTCCCTTTACAAAGGTTATGAAAAATCCCCGAGATGAGAGTAAAAAAAATGATAATGATAATGATGATAATCAACAAACAACAAACAATCGATACGATGGAAGATTTAAATTACCTTAAAACAACCCTTCGCCGTACACACAGCAAGGAGTCCGAATATACACAAAAAAGTTTTTCTCCTTTTCCCAAAAGGGGTAAAGATTATTTTTGACCGCCAACAAACAAACAAATGTTGTTGTTGTTGTTGTTTCATTAACAACACGGTTTAAATAGTAACCGTTTTTTCAAAAAATTTTCACTCGTGAGTTTTTGGTTTCTAATATGACCCCCCCCCCACACACACACACAGGTATCATCGCGAGCATCAACTCATTCGTCGTTTTATTACTACAAACGTTTGTTGTTAATAAAAAAAAAAACTACAAGACGAATAAGTCGATAATAACAAATCGCAGTAATAATTTCCCCCCATCCCAACCCCCCCCCCCGTTTGTGTGTGTGTGTGAATTATAAAAAAAAAAAAAAATTACAAAATAATCCGTGTAACGCATTGTAAATGTTTTATTATCGTGTAATTAGATATTACACTGTATTAACTACAACAACTTTACCTTATTATTAAACCGTGTGTTTGTTTGTTTGTTTGTTACAAATTAAAGGTTTGTGTCACGATGAAAATAATTTACTTACTGTGATGGTGATGGTGATGATGGTAATGGTCACATTTCAACAACAACAACAACAACAAACATAACAAAACAAAAAAAGTTTCTAAATCAATAACCTATACATTGATTTCCATCAAAAACCAATAACCTGTCTAATAATAATAATAATAATAAATAAAAGAAGAAAAAGAGAAAAGAAAAGAATAAAAAAATTGAAGGATAAAAAAAAAATTTTTGGGTTTACTGTTCAACAAAACAAAATGGCAGCCACAAAATAAAAAAAAAATTTTTTTTTTTCTTTCCTTTCCTTTCCTTCCTTTTTTTTTTTCCTTATAAAAACCCTTAGAGCTATTATTATTATTTAAAAAAAAAAAAAAACTTAAATATAGCATGAGGGTAGTAACAATAATAATAATAATAAATAAGTTTTAGTTTTTTTTTTTAAATAAAATCTCAAATTTTAGTTTTTTTTTTTTTTTACATTTGAAATGAGAGAATGTTTGTAGATGTGTGAAAAAAAAAAAAAAAACATGGCAAACGTTTGAAATGTTAATTTTTTTTAATTAAATAATGTTTGGGGAGTTACTTTATAACATTTACTAACTGAATTATTTTATTAGAAACGAAAAAAATGTTAGTTTAAAAAAAAAAAAAAAAAAAAAGAAAAAAAAGCGTTCAAAGTTTTTTATTAGATGCTATGAGATGATGAGAGATGATTTTAGAATTTATGAAACGGATTTCATATTTAAAATTATGCATTTACTTAATCGTTAGAAATATTATATATAGTAGAAAATAATAATAATAATAAAGTATTAATTTAAAATTGATTTTAAGAATTTATTCTAGCACCGCAAACTTAAACTTGGGCGAGACATCTCTAGGCCAATGGCCGACGAAAGCCTATTTCTTTGTATATATGTACAATGAGAATGAAATATATATATAATTTGAATAAATTATAAATAAAAATTATAACGTATTAAATATATATACCTGTCGGAACTTTCGGAGCTATCATACCGATCCGAACATCTTTTTTTCCCACAATTTTCATCATCGTTGTTAGGGCATATCCCTTTGTAATCGGACGAAAACCCATCAACGTCAGGGCAAAATTCCGAGGCGCGGTTTACACCACCATCGTTATTCACCGAATATTTAGTAAAACAATCGTTTTCAACATTATTTAAATAAAACAAACTTTTCAATTTATTCAAACTTTCGTCTCCGATTTGTTTTTCACAATTACCACTCATAAACTCACCATTTTCACTCATTAATCGTATTTTATTATTCCTGTTCCTTTCCACCTCACGTACTCTTTCAGCCATCTTTGGAACGCATGAAATGGTCGTAGTGACGTCACTCGTGAGTGAACACCGGTCATAGAGTAAAACACTTTCGCCCGAGTTCGATAACACAATAAACGCTAACGTATATTTCTTATTATTTACCTTTCAAAAAAAATTTATTTTTTTATATATATATATATAAACACAAATTTAAAAAAATATTAATTAAATTTATTAATTAATAAATATAATAAATAAATAAAACTCATTCGAATCCGTTTCGAAACGCAAATAAATAATAATAATTACACATCGTAAACCGAAAGGTTAATTCGAAAAAAACTTTCGTCATAAATTTTTCATTTAATTTATAAATGATAATCGTTAAACGAAAATAATTTTCTCATTCCTTCACCTACTTTTTCATTCCTTTTTGATATTTCCCATCAGAAAACAACAAAATAAATAAAAATAAAAATTTTATTAATAAAATTCGACGACGACTCAATAAAACCTCCGAGCACACGAGCGAATGAAATAAACGATGTCACACATGGTGTTTAACATAACTTGTTTTGGTTTTAAACCGAAACCACTGTTACGTTTTTTAGTTGAAATTCCTGCCGCAACCATCAGCGCCAAACAACAAACAGCGGTAAAAATAAGTACTAAACGTTTCGACTTCATTTTGAAATTTTTTTTTCTATCGTACCAAAAAAAAAAAAAAAAAAAAAATTCCCTTCGAATTTTTTTTTGTTTTTAAAAACGAAAACGTTTTTCTTTATTAATAATTTCTTTTTTTAAATCCCCCCCTTCCCCCTTAAAAAAAAAAACGTTACGAATTAGAATTTAATCATATCAATGGAAACGAAATAAATAAAAACTAACACACATCAATAACAAAATAATAATAATAATAATAACAAGGTGTGGGTGTGTGCGTTTAAAATTAAAAACAAAAATTCACACGCGTTAATGTGAGTCTAGCGTGTGTTTGTCTAAAGCCACGTTCGATTAATTATAACAAATTAAATTGTTTTTATAAACGCGCGAAAAAAAGCAGAAGAAAACAAACAATTTAAACACCCGAATCGTTTGCTAATTATATTAATCGTACGATAATTACCGTGAATATTAATAATAATAATAATATCGACCTCGGATTTGTTGCATTTAATAATAATAATAATAATAATAAATGAATTGATTTAGGTAATCGACCTTGACATTGGAATAAAAAAAAAAAAATTTCATTAAATTCGTTAAAAGAAAAATCATATCAAGGTCGGTTGATAACCTTCCGTTATTTTTGGACGTTCCTTTGAGAAAGCGAACAAACAAACAAACAAACGAAACGAAGCATGCGCGTTACGACAAACGGCGAAGGCACGGCGGTTCGAATCCGATGATGAAAAAAAAAAAAAATTTTTTTTTTTTTCATCTTAAATCGTTTGTTATTTAAGTAAAAATAATTTTCTATCGTTTGTTTGTTTGTTTGTTTGTCCGATTTTAAATTATTAAATTAAATTTGAACGGTAACGATTCTCCTTCGTTTCGTACATACCCAATATACGTCATAACGCAAAAAAATTTTTTTTCCCCTCCCCCTCCCCATTTTTCCCGAAAAAACGTCATCAATCGTGATAAGGGAATAATTACTATTGATAAGAATAATAATATTAATAAATTTATAATATATATAGAGTATAAAATATATTTTTTTTTCTATGTACACGTTTTTTTATATATTTTACTTTATTACATTTTATTTATTTATATATATATATATTTATAAAAACTTAAAAACTATTTAAAGTTTTCTTATCACACATTTTTGATAAATATCAATAAATGATAATGATAATGATGATAATAATAATAATTATTCCCTTCTGGTATTTAAATCCCACGTTTGATGAATGAAAAATTCCGATTTTTTTTCGCCTTTTTCGAATGTCTCTTCCGCAAAATGATACTAAAATGGCGACGGCAACAAGACGAACGAGTTTCCAATTAAATAAAATAAACGATGATGATGATGATGATGATGATGATGGGAAAAAATATATATATACAAAATAAAAAATAAAAAATTTCAAAAAAAAATTTTCTTCTCGTTTTCTTATCAACGGGGGCTCTTATCGCCCCCCACGGATTATCCCAGTCCCTTTGCTTAATCAGGTTCGATTCTAAACGATGCAAAATAACAATCCTTATTTTCTTTATAGGGCATTTTCAATAGATAATTTTTAGCCAATTGATTTTCGCTCAAATCGTATTTTCTCGCTGCTTTCTGTCCGTTTTTCAATAATTTTTCCGCTTCTTCAATTCCGGTTCCGATTTTATTTTTTTTAAAATGTTTTAAAAATGTTTTAACCGTCGCGTTAAGCATTTCTTCCGGCGATAAACAATCTTCAAAAAAAAAAAAATCTCCCGTTTTAATATTTATCACACACACACACACACCCCCCGCCCCTCCGCGGCATAAAAAACCCTTAAGGAAAAGAGAAAATTCTTACCTAAATTATTTAACAATCCGGTTGGCGAATCCGTCGTTGTCGACGATGATGATTTATCAAATTCAGACGATTGTTCTTCGTTTGTTTTCTCTCTAACGGATTTTTCCGACGGATATATTTTCAATGCGGAAAAAATTTGTTTTAGTAATTTTGGTACTGATGTTTTTTTTTCCGTTTGATAATTGTTGGCAGCATTGACGGCGGCTGCGGCAGCATTCACGCTACTACTCATCGTTAAATTTTTAGCACCGTTTATGTGATTGACGGGAAAATAAAACAAATCTGAAAAGAAAAAAAAATATCGACAAATGACAAAACTGGTGATCATGCAGGGGAAAGGAAAATATAAAATGGTGGCACTACCTTGTGAAAAAGAAGTAGACGAAGAAGTTGTTAAATCTTCTTTCACGGTATAACCGAGAAATGTTGAGAGTATGTGGGTGGCACAAGGAAGATAAGGTTGTTCCAATGATGATTTATTAAAAGCTTTCTGATAAGACCCCAATCTTGGATCACGGTACAATCGACTTAACTTTTCGAAAATTCTAGAAATGTGACGTAGGCATCACATCATCACCATCACCGTCATCATCATCGTCATCAAAAAATTTTAATTAAGAAAAAAAAAAAAAAAATTATACCAACTGATATTTTGTTGCGTGATTGTGTCGGACTTGTCCCCAAGTATATTTTAGCCTGTATATTCCAGGACTTTGCAAACCGGATAATATACTCCTACAGGATTGATAATTATGTAGCATATGACATTTTTCAGCCGCGTTTATAAATCTCGATATGAGTCTCGCACGAAACTGAAAACGACAAAAAAGGAATTTTATTTATATTCATCCCACGGGAAGAATTCCTTCCTTACCTTTAAATCATCCGTTAATAAAATTTCAGATGCTATCAAACATGATACCCTGCATGAAAAAATTATCCAAGTCATCAAATTAAGGGATGATTTACCATTTTTATGAATTGTTAATAATCTTAATTCGTCCGGTGGTATCTGAAACAAACAAAAAAAAAAAAACAAAATTTATTTCGTGTAAACAGAAAGAGTGAGAGAGAGAGAAGGGGGGGTGGAGGGGGATGCAAACCTTTAAAAACAATTGTGCATCTAACATTGTCAATTGAAAAGCCAGAGTCGTGCTATCGATATCCCAAATCGATATATCGTTTTCGAGTTTTAAATTTTTTTTAAAATCCGATTCGGATTTATCGTATTTCAAATGAAATATTTTCGACGTTCTAATTAATTTTTTACCAAAATTCATGAGTCTCATTTTTTTCGGTAATATTATGCTGTTTGAACTTCCGTTTGTCGTGGTTGCAGAACTTCCGTTTCTTCTCATGAGGAAAACGTTTAATTTTTTCAAATAACATTGATTCGCTCTGTATATTGTTTTTATAGTGTAAGGTTTAAACCTGGATGGGAGGGGCGGGGAAGGAAAAAAATCGTTTTAACGGGCGACATTTGAGAGAGTGGGAGAGAGTGAGAGAGATGGAAAATCACCATAAATCCGTTGTCCAAAATTGCATGGGTTGTTGTTCTATGACGTGTTGTGCACTCCATGGTCGAAAGGATTCGTATGACGTGCTGTTGCACAAATGTAATTTTTTCGATGGTTTTTCAAATTCATTTTCCATTTCTGTCGTTTCGTCAATCACGTGTACCAACGAAACGGATTTTTTCATCTGTAAAAAAAAAACAAATTTTTCAGTCGCATGGCGTTCCTCCTTCCCCACCCCACCCCCCATTCACTCACTTTAACGTACCTGAATCGAAAAGGAATCTCCTTTTCCCGTCGCGTATATACCCAAACCGTAGGACAGATCAGACATTGTCGTGAGTCCATAATGTCGCGGATGACGATTTTCTTTCGTTTCCAAAAGTGACGTTTCCCACGTTTCCACAGCTTCGTCGCATATTTTAGTAAACGTGGCAGGTGAATGTTTCAATTTCGTCGGCACTAACGTTCTAGAATCTATAGACTAAATTATAAAAATAAATTCTTTTACCCCCTAAAAAAAAAAAAAAAAAAAAAAAAAAATCTAACGCGCGCGTTTATGTCCATCTCATCGATCAACGAGAGATATAAAACTATAACGTACCTGTATGGAAAATGAACATTTGCTGTAGCTTATCGCGGGAAGGTATAAACCGGTTTTGCAACCCTCGTCTATACCTTCCCCGAAACGATTTATGTGTTCTGCTTTTTTACTATTACATATGGACACTTCCTTCGAGGGTATGCTACTGAGTGAGGATCTACTCATTTGAAATCTTTGTCGTCGATACAGGGTGCGAATTTCATCCGAATCGTTTTGTAATAACGTGGCATAAGATATCGGTTCTATTTTGTAACTTATCAATTCGAGTTTATCACCGAAAAATAAATCTTTATCCGTCCATCGAAGATTTTTCTAAAAAAAAAAAATCATTATTATTACGTCTTGCACGAGAGAGGGAGGGACGGGGCGGGGAGCGGGGGCGGGGGGATCGGAACGACCAACAAACTTTTAATGAACAATTCGATATTATGTTGTGATGTTTTCCAGCGTAGTATTGCCATATTTTATCTTTCGACACTCTCGTTTTTGCCACGTGTAACGAACTTGCACTCGTTGAACTTGCAACGGATGTTTCCGTCATGGACGATCCTGCTTTATCTTCCGGACTTAGAAATCTCACACGTTCGCACCAAAGGTTCCAAAACATCTGCATGACGATGATGATGATGATGATGATTATATCAATAAGTATTAAATGCAATAAATAAAATTATCTATAAAAATATACCTGATAATAATACCTTTCTCTTGTCCGAGCCTCCCAATTCGAAATAAACGATTTTGCTGTTGTGATTTGGATTTCCGTCGTGGAATTTAGCTTTTAAAACTTTCCGTCTTCGTCTCCTGAAAACGCTCAGGGTGACCAATTCGATCGGAAATATCGATATCAATTCTAAACTTTCTATTTCCGCATCAATGCATCCGGGGAAAAAAGCAACGGGATAATCGCACGCATGTTTAATTATATCCGTCGCCAAAACTAATTTCGTCGGGGTCAAACCTAACAATAATAATAATAATAAATCAAACTTAACCTAACCTGGTCGAAGAAGAAAAAATAATAATATCTAACGTACCTATTTGTACCTGTCTGATTCCCCGACCTTCTCGTGTTGTTTCCGCAAAAGGACTTTCAACTAATATCATATCTTCAAAATCGGAATATTCGGAGAATAAAAGTTTTTGTATTCTGTTTAACGACATTTTACAATGATGATGATAATAATGATAATGATAATGATAATTGTATAAACAATAAAAAAAGAAAATTACGAGTATAAAAAAAAAAAAAAAACCGCGGAAAATAATCCCGTGGGTGATGAAGACAAAGACGACGAAAAAAAAAAAAAAAAGAAAAAAAAAATTAATTAATTAAACAAATCAAATGTAAATACTATTAATAATAATAATAATAAACTTTTTTTTGTAAAGTTGGCAGTAACGACGATTAAAATTTAATTCGCCGGCCGCCATTTTTTTTTTAATAATTTTTAAATTTAAATTCGAAAGTTTTTTTTTGTTTTATTATTTTTTTTAATATTTTTTTTACCGGTTTTTTTTTCGATTGTTTTCGTTTGTTTGTTTGTTTGTTTGTTTAATTGATTTTAGGGATTTTGAAAACTACAGTGTTACTGGGGGAATTTTTTTCAAAAGTTTTCAATGATTTTTTAGCCGTTGATATTTGATTTTCGGTTATCACACCCGTCGGAATAACGGTCGGAGAACAAATCGGATGATGAGAATTTAAACGACCGGAAATACAATTAACGTTATTAACGGTCGATGATTTATCGTTTCCGGTTTTAATAACCGTGTTCCCGTTTGAATATTTAGAAAATGCATCGACTTTGTTTTTAAGATTTGATCTTAGGAGAGTGGATGCCAATTCGCTGTCGAAACCGTTTTCTTTCGAATTACGATTAATAAAATCGAATTTCGATGGTTCCCTCCTCGGTTTATCCGTCGGATATTCCGTTATTTTAATGACGGTTGTTTTTTTCACGGGGGGTAGTGGGGGTGCGCGAGAGCGACAATCGTTTTTTTGAAAATAAACTTGCGGTGGTTTGGGTGATATTTTTTTAGGTTCCGTCAAATCTAACGATTCAATGCTTTGCATTTCAACTTTATCCTGTTGTTGCTGCTGTTGTTGTTGCTGTTGTTGTTTCTTATCCGACATGTTTATAAAATGATTTTTAATTGCGGCGGCGTTTAAAAATTTACAATTTGATTTTTTCAACGGTGTTATTTCTTTTGTACTATTAACGCCGAACGTGACGGTTTTATGAACGGGTACGTTTGTCGTTCCACCGTTCGTAGACGAAGACAACAACAACTTCGGCGACCTTTTGTTTTTCTCTTCGAATTTCAATATTGAAGTTTTAACCGTTTGACTAGCATCGATACTTTGGTTGTCGGGTAATGATGAATTATTATCCGAATAATAATCTGGAGTCGGACAAGATGGAGGAGGTGGTGGCGGCGGTGACGGCGTCGGCGGAGTTCGATCTTGTAAAGTCGTCAATGATTTTACGATCGGATGACTAATTTCCGGTTTTGTTATTCCGATCGGGATGGATTTTTCCGGTAGAGGTGGCGGTAGAGGTTCTGGAAATTTCGTTTCCTGAAAAAAAAAAAAAAAATTATCATCACGCGTGTGTCAATCCGCCATTTTGTTTTTGGAAACGACGGTTCGAACAATTTATCGCGATACGAACTTTGCTCCCCCCTTCCTCCTCCTCCCCCACTACTTATTACTTCACAGAAAATTACGTCATCAATAAAATGTTCTTTCACAATTTCCACGTTGCAAACGAAATTAATAATAATAATAACCGACGAATGACGGTTAAATATCAAAATCAAATTAATTCATTTAATTATTAACGCTAATTAAATTTCCTCCTCCTTTTCTTTTGTTTTATAGCAATTATAGCGCAATTAAATTACTACATTATGTCTATAGGATCCCATCGCTCGATCACGTGATTATTACAATAATAATAATAATGATAATAATAAAAATTTTTAATAAACGTTCGAGGCCGTTGAAAAAAAATTTTTTTTTGTTTTGTTTTCGAAACGCGCGTGCGTTTGTCGTATTCAGAGTGTGAAAAAGAATCGAACGAGTGCGTGACACATACGTCACAACGATGATGATGATGATAATAATAATAATAATTTATATTATTAATTTTTTAACGATTTTTAACCGGTAGTAGTTTTAATTTTTATCTATGGAATCGTGGGATTGATAAAAAATTTTACATTAAAAAACGCGATGAAAAAAATATATAATGATTCGTGACACGACGATAAAAATGTTATTTAATTAATTATTATTATTATTATTATTATTATTAAACGTCGTTAAAATCGTGATCGTAACGACAAACAAAAACGAACAAACGATGAAAATGATTTTAATATAAATTTTTTGGATGAGGACGAAAGACGTCAAAAATTTTTTTTTTTTTTTGTAAATCGGTCGCGTTAAATCGTCGTGGCACGATTCCCATCGTTTAATATCATCTTGTACCACTTTCACTTTTTTTTTAAATTAAAAATATAATGAAAATTAAACGATAAAAAAATTTTTTCTTAATTTTAATTCGTTTTTAACTAAACTACTGTCACCCTCGACGTCACTACCACCGTCAAAATCATAATCATTATTATTATTATTATTATTATTATTATTAGTATTAATCAATCGTGAGTTTCACGGTTTAAAAAACAATGAAAGTGAAAAAAAAATAATAATAATAATATAATCACGTAATAATTCGATTGTTTTACAAAACAAACAAAAAACAATTTTTTTGTTAATTACAAAATGTTTACAACTTCGCAAAAAAAAATTTCAATTCAAATTCAATTCAATTGAAATTTAAATTCAATGAATGAATGAATTTTATTAATAAAGAATTTTTTTTTTTTTTTGTAATATAAAATCGAACGTGGTTTTAGAATGATTAAAAAAAAATAATTGGCGTGTGTGTGATAAATGTAATAAACAATTATATCGCGTTTCATTATTATTATTTTTTTTTTCAAAACAAACAAAAGGATTTGTTATCAATCGTGTTATCAGTGCTATAAATCCATAAATGAACTATTTTTTTATAGTTTATATAGACTATAAAACTATATTTACGAGACACGAAAGAGAAAAACGAATATTACACGATAAAAAAATTTTTTTTTTTCCCATTTAAATTTTATTTACTCTATGACAATATTTTATTTACTCTATTCGATTGTTTTTCTCTTAACTTTTTGTCTTCTGCTGTTTTTTTTTTTACCCGGTTAACGTGACGTAATACCTGACGGCTTCCGTAAAAACCAAAACCGATGTAGTTCATCATTTATTTTATACAAAAAAAAAAAAATTCTTTTTTTAATGATTTGATTGATTGAATGAATGAATGAATGAATGATTGAATGATTGATTGATTGAATAAAATATTAAAAGAATCAATCCGAAAATAATAAGAAATTTATAAAATTAAAGAAAAACAAAACAAAAATTTTTTAACCGTTCGTATTTTTTTTTCTTCTTTATGTTTTTTTAAAAGACGAAATAATAATAATAATATAACTAATAATAATAATACTAATAATAATAATAATAATAATAATAATAATACTAATAATAATAATACTACTACTAATAATAATAATGATAATGATAATGATAATGATAATAATAAAGGAAATCGCACTATGTGGGACGGCCCTTGATTCTTCGGAAAATACTCTATAAATAGCACCAACGAAATTTGAGCATTTATTTCTAAAGAATCAGGTAGAAACCTGGAATAAATGCTTAAAACCCCTACAAATAAGAATCTTGTCGTGTTTAAGAGTGACAATAATAATAATAATAGTAATAATAATATCCGGCGGAAATTACGTTTATAAAAAAAAAAGAAAAAAAATTTATGATTTAATAAAAACCGTTAATATTAATTAGTATCCCGTTTAAAAAAAAATAAAAAAAAATTAATTAATTAAATGATATACGGTAGAAAATAAAAATAAAAATTAACGTGGAATTAGAAAATTTAATTACTGCCTTTTTGTTTTTTTTTTAACGACGGAAACCGGAAAAGAAGCGTTTTTTATTTATTTATTTTTCCTCTTTTTAAAACAAAATTCGATGCTCACGTGACATTTTTTTGATCTTCTTTTTTGATTTCGTCTAATGCCACGACCTTAAACGTACCATCGGTTTACGTTTTTTTTTTTTTTAAATTTCTAAAACGTTTTACATTTTTTTTTTTTTTTGTTTGCGTGGGTCTAATCAACCGACACCAACTCGAAATTTTTTTTTTTTTCACTTCCTTCTCCCTTCGTCCCTCCTCCCCACTTTTCCTTCTCCTCCTCCAGCAAAATGAAAAATTTTTGGAAAATGTCGACATATTTATCGTCGTGTTAAATAACAAAAAAAAAAAAAATTTTGAAATTATCGTGGGAGGAGTTTTAAAACCGCGAGGCACGATATTTTAACAACAACAACAACAAACACCTATTTCACTTTTTCTTACACATTTTTTAACGATTTAATTATTATTATTATTATTTCGATATTTCGTATTTCGAGCAATCGATCAATCAATCAATCATAAAATAGTAAAAATTTTATATTCGTTTCGATATGTTTCCCGGTCGTAATTAGGAAAAAAAAAAAAAAGAAAAAAACCTTGGGAAAAGAAAAAATAATATTAACCTCGTTTATGCGAGCGATAAGGTGATGTCGTTGTTTGTACGATAAACGACAAACAACCGACAGCAAATTTAAAATTTTCTACTGTCTGAGATTTTTTCCCGTCGTTTAAAATTAACGTCAGCAAAAATTTCAAATCCATCGAACGGTAACAAAAAAAAAAAAATTTTTAATCGTGTTGAACGTAACAACAACAAACAACAAACAACAATCATCGCCTCGATAAAAATCCTATCGTCAACGTGTCACGTTTTTTAAAAGAGTGATGAAACAACAAACAACCGATGATGCGAACTTTAAAAAAATTTTCCGCAAAATCTAATTAAAATTAAAACAAAAAACCGGAAATGTTCCGTCGCTTATTATTATTATTATCATCTTCATCATCATTATTATTATCATCATCATTATTATTATCATCATTATTATTATTATTACAATCATTTTCCATTAAGAATTCGAAATGTAAAACAGAACAAAAACAAAAAAAAAAATTTGAAATGAAGAAACAACATGGGAAAAATTTAAAAAAAAAAAAAAAAAAACATTTTTCGAAACATTAAAACAACAACCAACAAACAACAACAAACGAAACAATTTTTAATGATAATTTCTTTGTTGTGTAATTTTTACTCCATAAAACAAAAACAAAAAATTTTTCATGTTTTTAAAAATTTATGATGGAAAAAAAAAAAAAAAACTCGGTTGCCGAGTATGTAAAATCGATATTTGAAACAACCGACAAACAAACAAACAAACAACAACCGTAGATTAAAAAAAGAAAAATTTAAATAAAAATAAAAAGTGATTTACGGTTAAATGCAGACGATAATCATCTCTAAAAAAAAATATAGTGAATAATTTTAAAAAAAAAAAATTATGTACGTCATCGATCGATCACGATTTATTATTATTATTATTATTATTATTATTATTATTATTATTATTATTATTATTATTATTATTATTATTATTATTATTATTATTATTATTATTATTATTATTATCTAGATAAATTATTCATCTGGAACTGGAGGAGTAAAAAAAAAATTTTCTCCAGTTTAATAAAGTAAAATTTTTTTTTTTTTAAATTATTTAAAATTCTCGTTCGGTAGGAAAATTAAAGCAGATTAAAAAATGAAAGCAGAAGACGAATGACTTCTGCTGAATTGATGGAGAAAAATAATAATAATAATAATAATGATAATAATGGCGTATCGGATGCTGTAGGATGTAATCGATTATTGATTATTTATCGCTATAAATTTTTTTTATAGCGTTTTTCTCGCGGTTTTTTTTTATTTTGCGGCCAACGCAACTTCTATAAACGGATAATTTCGAAATATTCTAGAAGTTTTTTTTCCGTTTTCTTGTCCTTTTTCGTATTCTCGAATCCTTTTTCGAAAGAACGACCTAACCTGGAGTGACGTAAAATCTTAAAAGCCGAAGCTTTTATCAAAGTACGTTTTAGGTACGCGTGTACTTTTTCTCTCTTTCTGTGTGCGTGTTCTCTCTTTCTCTTCTCTCTCTACATGTCTGTGCTATATGCCTTCTCTCTCTCTACGTATGTGTCTTCTTTCCATCTATCTATCTCTCTATGTGTGTGTGTATGAGTCTTCTTTGTCTTCTCTCTCTATGTGTGTGTGTGATTCCTCTCTACCATCTCTCCCTCCCTCCCTTTTCTCCCTATCATTCTTTCTCTGTCTCTCTTTCTCCCCCTTCTCTATCTCTCTATGTCTCTTTCTCTCACTCTCATTCAAATCCTTACGTTTACCGTAAATTTTATAACCTCGACAAACGCCTCAACAACAACAACAACAACCCACCTTTTGTTTTAGTTGTTTTTTTATAATTTATTTCCACGACTAAATAATTAACGTTTTTATACTTCAAAATAACAAAAAAAAAAAAAAAAAAAGAAAATTTGCATTTCAATGCTGCCACTAGGAAGTCAATAAAAAAAAAAATGAATGATGATGATGATAATAATAATAATAATAATAATAATAATAATAATAATAATAATAATAATAATAATAATAATAATAATAATAATAATAAATGTTATACAATCGAATAGAATTATCAAGGAAAACGACGATATTTCTTGTTTTTTATTATTATTATTATTATTTTTTGATCGGATTAATTATTTTTGTTAAAAAATAAATATTTAATTATCGATTATCGATTATCGATTACACTCCGTTTATCGACGATAAAGATTTAATATGAATTTTATTATTATTATTTTTTATCTACGATTTATCGAAATCGTTAAAAATGGTAGATTTTATTATTGGTCAAAAAAATTTTACGACGGTTGTCGCGTTTTTTTTTTTTTCGGTTAAAAGTGGGCGCACTTATTTACGCCATTGATAAGATTTAAAAGGTGTTTAAAGTTCAAAGGTCAAAATCAAAGATTTTCAAATAAAGATTTTTATTTAAAGTGTTTAAAGGTCGTTTGCGTACTATGGGGATTGCTTATGGAAAAAGCTAACGAGAGACTCCACCGATTAATTTTTTTTTTTTTTTTACACAAAACGATTTACTAAAGCCACGACGCACACTCGCGCACTCACGCACTCACTCACGCACATACGCACGGCAAAAAAAAAAATTCTTTCGAAAGAAATGAAAAAAAAAAAAGAAAAATCGTTCGAATCGAAAAAAATTTAATTACGGTTACGGTAAACGAATAAAAATAACAAGTAATTAAAAAGAGAAAAAAAAATTTTCTTTTTTTTTTTTCTGCTTCCACGTCTTATCCCTATCATTATTATTATTATCATTATCAATCATTACTTATTAATTATTATCACGGATGATTAATTTTTTTTTTTTAAATTTACTTTTTAAAAAAAAAAAATTTCACTTCGAAATTTTCTTCTTCCACGTCGTTTTCAAATTTTTTCCCATCCGTTTTTCTCGTTACACTTGTTACTTCTTCGCATTCGCGTTAAATTATTTACACGACGTTTTTACGTTACCCTTGAACTTTCGCAAACGGGAATTTTTTTTTTTGTTTTCGCCTCTATCATCATCATCATCATTATTATTATCATTATCAGGTACTGGATATTTTAAATTTTTTCCGCATCGTCGTACCCGTCATAATCATCATCATCATCATCGTTATTATTATTATCACAACAAACAATTTTATAAATTCAATTATAACTAATGTTTGAAAAAAAATTTTTTTCTTTTTCGTTTGTTTTCCTTATTATTATTATTATTATTATTATTATTATTATTATTATTATTATTATTATTATTATTATTAATTAAAATTATCTGCATCCACGATTATTATTATTATTATTATTATTGTTACGTGATTAAACGAAAAAAAGAGAGAATTTCGTCATGTCACGGACTGTGAAAATTTTTTTTTTTCTTTTCGGCATCGATAACTTTTTCTTATCACACACACGAACGAACGCATGCACTCTCTCTCTCTCTCTCTCTCTTTCTTTCTCTCTCTTTACTTAGAAATAATGATGATAAAAGAAAAAAAGGTAATTGATAAGAAAATAATATTTATTTTAAAAAAGAAAACGTTTCTGAACCTTCGTAAAATCATCGGAAAAAAAAGAAAATTAATTATTAATGACGTCATCATCATCAAATTTAACCGTTAAAAACCGTTAAAACCGTTAAAAACCTTTTCGCGGTTGAAAAAAAAACCTTTCGAAACGTTCAAAACCCATATTATTATTATTATTATTATTATTATTATTATTATTATTATTATTATTATTACGTACGTTAGGTCTTTTTTTCCCGAAAAAAATCGTGGTAGCAGAATATTTTTTTATTAATTTCTCATCACTCGAAATAATAATAATGAGCTCAAAAAAAGAAAAATTTCCCCCCCTCTCCCCGTTTTCATCCGTTCGCTTTAACGTTTGCCATCATCATCATCATCATAATCATCATTACTATTATTATTATTATTATTATTATTAATAAAAACGACTTAAAAATGAAAACCTTAATCTTACCTTTCAAGTTGTTGTCAATCCCGAAGGAGGATATTTAAGCACAAAAAAAAATCGCGATGACGTAACAAACGATAACAATAATAATGATAATAACGGTAACGAATCAATCAATCAATCGACAATTAATTAATTAATTATTAATCAAATCGAAAAAAAAGAAATTTTTTTTTTTTACGCGCGCGTTTTTTTTTCGTCTTCTGCTTCGTACGAATGTTATAACTCGACTGACAACAAGCAGACAACACACACACACACACACACTCGGCACGGATCAACGATGATAATAATAATAATAATAGTTAAACCTAAAAGGAATGGGAATAATAATAATAATAGGAATCAGGTTGTTTTTCTTTTTGAAAAGGTAAATAGATTGTTGCAAAATCACCGCACGCGCACTCACGCACCGGCGCATGAGATCCTGCGCGGCGTCGACGACTGTCAGTACCGTATTAAGGAGAACAAACGATTTAATAATTATAAAGAAATTTTCTTTTGATGGGCGTATATTTAAATTAATATATATTTTCACGTTCCGATTATCCTATTAATTAATTAATTAATGATGATGATAATAATGATGATAAAACGAATGTTATAATTAATCGCGGACGAAAAACGTTATTTTTTCGAATGAATTTCTTTTCTTTTCTTTTTTTTTTTGTTTTGTTGGTATACCTTTTAATTATAATCGAACGAACGAAGCGTGAAATTTTTTTAAAATTAAATATGGCGTCGGTGGTTCGTTCCGGAAAAAAAATGGCGGATTTTTTAAATTTGCGAGAGGATGAGGTGCGAGTGTGAGTGCTAAAATCAGGGCTGCCAATTTCGTAACGAATTCTTTAATTTTTAAATACGATTATTGTTTGTCAGATAGATTTGATAATTTATTTTTATAAAAAAGAGTTTTTACGTCCCACGACCTTAACAATTTTTTTTTAAACGTGGAAAAAGAAAAAAAATTATTTTTTTGACGTGGTTGTAGCGAACGAGTACGCGCGCGTGCGCTTAATCAATTCAAAAAAATTTTTTTTTATCTCGCAAAATATTAAAGAAACAAATAAGAAAAAAAAAAAAAACTTTAAATTTATTATTATTGACATTTTCTTTTTTTTTTCGTGGAAGTTTAAGTTGGCAACAATGACGCGATAAAAAAAAAATTAAAAACTTTTCTTATCGTTTTTTATCATTTCGGGAAATTTTATCGTTCTTACCATAATTTATTTTTTTTCGTACTTAATAATTTTTACTCCTTATTTGTAATTTTTTTTAAAGTTCGATCTCTCTCTCTCTCTATTCTAATGACACGATAAAAATAATAAATAATAAAAAAATAAATATTCGGTTAGGATTTTATTCATTTTTAAAACTCGAATGACGTTTTTTTAATTTTTTTTTTTTTTTTAGGGAGGTTCCTAAAAAATTAACCAGGTGCGAATTAAGGTAAAATTAATTAACAGGTGTTAATTAAGTAATTTTATCCGTACCTTTTTTTTTGTTTCTAATGTTGTCGTAATCGAATAAATTTAGAAAAAAAGAAAAATTTGATATTTTCATCAAGGTTTTTTGATAAAGTTCGAAAATGTTTGAAATTTTCATTAGATGGAAAATTTAATGAAAAATCCTGTGGGAGAAAGAAAAAGAGAGAAGGATTTTCCGGTTATAATAATAATAATAATAAAATCATCTCATTAAAAATTGTCAAATTTACGAAACTCGACATAAATTTTCGAATTGATTTAAGAATTATGAAGATGATAATAATAATTAAAATAATACGAAAACGAATAAGCCTCAACGTTAAAATTAATATAATTGAACATTGAATCGTTTGTTGTTGTTGTTGTGGTTGTTGCCTATAAATCGCGAATTTTAAAACCTTGGCAAAATCATTATACAAACGACGAATTGTTGATTAATAATAATAATAATATTAATAACAATTCGAGTCGTAAACAATTAATAATAATAATAATAAATTATTTTTTTTATTGTAATCAAAACGTTTGTTGTTGTTTTCTATAAAAAAAAAATTCGAAAGAAATTTTAAACAAACGAGAACAACAACAACAAAAAATTCGTTTGTATATTTTTTTTACCTGCGAGAAATCCGCCCGTTTTACACGCTTTACGTTTTGGGATACACAAATGTATATAAAAAAATCTAAACTTACTTTTGACGGCGTCGAATTCGTTGTAGTCGAAAGAGTTTTATCGTCGAGACATTGTTTCCTCTTTAATTCCGCAATAAGTAAATCGTGTTGATGTTGTCTTTGCTGTTTGGAAACAACGTTGGGTTTCGACGTTTCCGGTTCATCGATTTTCACACCATTTCCTTTGAGCCGTCTCTGAAACGAATCCGTGTAAAAATACGATTTGTACATTTTATTTTTTGATTTTTTCATGTTTTCACGCGGAAAAACCTAACCCGAACAACGCGAATTGAATTCTACTTTTTCTCAACGCGTTCGATTTTGTTTTAGGTACGTTTGTTGTTCGTTTGTATTGTTGTCGTCGTTGTTCTGCTCGCGACGATAAAAACCTTTTTTTTTTTTTTGTTTGGGAAAACAATCGACAGGGAATCGGAAAACGTCCTGGTTTCGTCAAGGTTCGAGTATTGTTCGCGTAATCATTATCGATTTTTTTGTTATGAGTCATGTTTGTTCCGGTTCGGTCAGTTGTTGCGATTGTCGCCATTTATTGTTTTGAATTATCGGTAAAATGGTAACGAGACCATGGCGTCGATTGTTTTTTTAAATAAAAATCCTTACCTCTTTTCTTTTTTCTATTTCTCGACTTATGGCACTTGTTAAACTACATCCGCTCGAAAATGAACTTATGCTCGAACTTTTTTCGACGTCCATTTTGTTTTTACCATAACCGTCGTCATCTTCGACGTCGGCATCATCCGACCTATGAACTTGAACGGATGTGACGTTACCGTTTTCCATTAAAACTTTTGCCATCGTCGTATCTTTTCTTTCGATTTTGATGATGGTTTGACCACCGGACGTTCGGAGAGACGTTTCCACCGGTTTGTAGTTGTTGTTGTTGTTGTTGTTGTGGGTATTGATGAATGTTTTCGTGACGTTTTCGAAATTTTGAAAACCGATAATTTTCCTATCGTTAGTATCCGTTAGGATTTCAATCGATTTACTTTTTTCCCGGTAATTCGAACCAGCGTTCGATACGTTATCGAATATCGAATCGATGCTTCCGAAAGGTTTTAGCGAATTCCTTCCGGTTTTACATTGACATGATTTTCTTCCGTTTCTTTCGTCTCCTTCTTCTGCGACCATTGATAACCTTTTGGGTTTCGATGGATTTTGCGTTACGGCTTCGTCGGCTATCGAACTCGACGAACTGTAACCGGATGATTCTCCCGGAAATAAATCGATACCCGAACCTTTTTTCAATACGAGATCTAACGTCTGTGCACCTTTGAGAACGGTCACCGCCTGAAAAGACAAACGAAAAAAAATTTTATTAAAACCGTTCGAGAAAGAAAACTAATCGTTCGAACGCTTTCTCTCTTTTTGGTTTTATTTTTGTAAAGTTATCTGAGCCATGCGAGAAAAGCAAACGAGAAGGTTTCGTCGAATACCGGAAATAGTTTTGGTTTAAACGGAGTGAAAATTTTCTTATCTTTCTCTACGTATTCTCTCTGCTTCTGCCTCTCTCTCTCTCTCTCTCTCTCTGTCTATCTATAATTCTTTCCATCTATCTCTTTTCTTTCTTTCTTTCTTTCTTTCTTTATCTCCATTTCTTTCATATCATTTTCTCTTTCTCAAAATTTCTCTGCGTCTGTATCTCAGTGTGTCTAGTGTGTCTGTCTTCTTTCCTTCTCTCTCTTCCTCTCGTTCTTTACGTTTCTCTGTGCCTCTCTCTCTTTCTCTCTTTTTTTCTTTCTCCCTCTCTCACCGTTTCTCTCATTTCCCACCGTTTCACTCTCTATATCTCTCACTCTTTTCATTTTTATTTTTCTTTCTCTGTGTGTATGTGTGTCCTCTCTCTCTCTCTTTCTCCTACTCTATCACAACCTTTTTCTTCATTTCTTTTTTCTCTTTTTTCCTCTCTCCCCTTACCTACCTATCTACATGTCTTTTTCTCCACCTCTCTCTTTCTCTCCCTCTCTCTCTCTCTCCGTTAAATACTTCCTATTCTTCTCAATTAATTCTAATTACAAAATTCATTAGAGTTAAAACTCGGTGAAAGGTTCGAAACCCTAATAACACTTTGTATTGAAAGTAATAAATGGTTTTGTTTTGTTTTTTTTTTTCCCTAATCGATTTTCTTTTGTTCAATTATTCATTATTATCATTATCATTATTATAATAATCACTTATCGTCATCGTCGATTATTGGTTAATCTCAATTATCATTTTCCAAAGTTTTGAGAGAGAGAGAGAGAAAAGTCTTTAACCTCATGAAATAATTATAACCCTTTACTTTCACGTTTTTTCTTCTCTTCTCTATCCATTCATTTATTTTTACGCGCGTAAAAAATTATTAATAATAATAATAATATTACGTAATACATTTGAAAAAAAAAAAAAAAATTTTTAATTATTTTTCGGTTGTAATAATAATAATAATAATTACACACCGACGAAAAAACGAAAAGGAAGGAGAAGATGAAACGGGTTCGAATTTTTTTTTTTCTTATCAATTTTTTTGGAAGGTTACTGATAAGAGTAATTTTTACATGTTTAACTTACGTAATTGAAATCGATCTGGAGAAAAGATATTCTGTTGCATTGTAATATTTGATCACCGGGTTGTAAACCGCATCGACGTGCTAAAGAATTCGGTTTCGTATATTGTACGAATATTCCAGGTCTCCAGTCGGGTCCTTTGCAAATCCTAAAAAAAAAAATCCCGTGTTAAATAATCATTATTATTATTATCATCATACCTGGAACCAAACAACCAACTCACCCGCATCCCAATTGAGTACTTTCCGGTATTTCGATAATTATACGATCAACGTCACAACCGAAAGTTTGATTCGTATCCACGTTGTTGCTGGAATTATTTGAATTATTTCCGTTCGGATCCACAATTTTCCACGTGAGAGGATCGTCGGATTTGCTAAAAAAAAATTATCATTATCATTATCATTCTTATATTTTCTCCAGAAAAACGAAAAATTACTTACTCTTTGACGGGTATGATTCCGACATCTGGAACAAACAAAAACAAAAAAATTTCAATTCAATTTTTAAAAAATTAAAAAATTCTCCAGGAATGAATTATTAGTCAGAGAGATTCCATGAAAACGGATGTGATAAAAACTTCCAACCGGAAGTAGTACACAAAATTTAACGAAAAAAAAAAATTTTTTTTTTTAAGGAAACGATAAAATAAAAAAAAAAGTTCAATAATACGTTTAACCCTTAAAAAAAAAAATTTTTTTTTTTTGCGCATGCGCGATAACATTCCGGACATTGATAAGATTATTATTTACTGATAACGATGATAACGAATTTTTTTTTTAAATTTCTTATCATTTAAATAAAACCGATAAAGTAAATTTTTTTTTTTTTTTGAAAAGCGGATAGATAACGAAGGTGAAATAATAATAATAACGATGACCGTGTACTACCTCCATAAAGGTTTAAAGGTCACCATTGGTACGGGAAGTGAAGACGGAGGAGGTGGTGGTGGTGTAGGGGGAGAGAGGGAGGGGGAGAAACAGGAAGTAAAACGAAAAAAATTTGCCTTACTTTTAACGGTGAGCGTGAGTTGGTGATGAGATTGAGCCAACTGGAGAACTTCCCGATGTGTGGCATCATCGACGGGTAGTCCGTTGATTCTAATAATTTGATCACCCACCTGTAAAACAAACAAACATAAATTTTTAATTGTTAATTCTCCAGTTTGTTGTTGTTTTTTCTCTCCTTTAAATTCAATTCCTGGAGAATAAAAAAAAAAAAAAATTTCAAATCCCGAATTCCTTATTACGCACCGCCTCGCCCTGTTTTGCTAAAAAAAAAAACAAGTTTTTCATTATAAAAAAAAAAAAAACAAACGTGGCATTTGAATTTGAAAAAAAAAGAAAAAATCAACAAATAACGCGCGTGACCTTTGAACCTTAAATAATAGTAGGCGGGAAAATTTTTTTTTTTTTTTCCATCTCAACCAATCTTTTAACCAAAAATAATAATTTTTTTTTCTTCTCGATTATAATTACAGAGCTTTGTAATACAATAAAAACCACTTGATCTACTGCCACGTTATAATTTGTTATCCGTTACAAAATTTTCGTTTCGTACAAACAACAACCAAAATACCAAATTTAAAAATAAAAAAATTTTAGTTTTAAATTACCGGAATCGACTTTTAACGACGTGGAATTTAATTAAGTATTGAAATTTCTAATTCCACGACAATGTACAGTTTATTTTACGGGGATATAAAAAAAAAAATTATGTAAAAAAAAAAAAAAACTGTTATTTAAATCGTCGTTTGGTAAATTACGAGAGAGAGAAAGGTTAGGAGAAAGGAGGAAATTTAATTTTTGACAAAGAGAGAGAGAAAGAGAGTGAGGCTGGAGAAAGAAAGAAAGAAAAAATTGTTTTCCACGCGACGTCATCGTTTTTTTTTCTTTTTTCTAGAACGTATCCAAAATTTTTTAACATTTCAGATTTCTTCTGCTTTTTAATTCGTACGTGACTTTGCATAAAATAATACGACCAACATATATTCGTGCTCTTATATCTGGAACAAACGACGGTCTCTCTCTTCCATTCATTCTAAAATTTAATAAGAAATGTCATCATCAACTATCAAACCCTGAAATTAAATTTGTGGTCCCCGCGATCAATCCGAATCGACAATTAACGAATTTTTAAATTACCGAAAAAAATCTAAATTTTTCCGGGGAAAATTCTCGATTGAAATTAACAAAATGGAGAGATAAAAAAATCATTTCACATCATCCGAGCACATTCTGGAACTCTGACGTCATCATCGATACTTATTACGCGATTGATGAACCGTTTCCGCATCCGTTAATCGACGGATTTTTTAATTTACCGACAAAAAAAAACCCTAAAAAAAAAAATTAATTAAAAAATAATAATGATAATAATGATAATAATGATAATGATGATGATAACAAAAGAATTAAATTTCTCCAGTTAAAAATTAATTATTAATTTTACCGTTTGTCAATTTTTTTTTTGTTATTCGTTACACTCGTCGTCGTAATCGCGGTGTAAATGACGTTTCCGGTATCGGATTTTTTCGTTTCGTTTCCTACATTTTCCCGCGCTTTTTTAAAATTACAAGCGTGACGTCAAAGGTGGAATTATTTTTTGTGTAAATAATACCGTCGATGGTCGTTGGTCGTTGTTGTTATTTATTCACTCAAATCGAAATTTTTTTTGTTCCCGAACGTTTACTTTTTCGTAATTGTAAACACCAAAAAAAAAAAATCGTGTCAGAAGAAAAAGTTCAAGCTACGTTTTTGTTTTCCGCGAGCAAACTTCTCCGGTTGTCGAAATTTTTAAAATCCCAACAACAACAAACTTTTGACTACATTAATTTGTTTAGATTTCATCATCGAACGTTCGAGCGACGGACGTGTTTGTCGTTTGTTTTAAACCCTCCCGAAAATTTTTCAATTTCCCTCTTAAATTTTTCCAAAATTTTTCCAGCGTTTGTTAATCAGAAAATAAAAATACAAACGATGGACTAAAATTTTACAAAGCGAAATATTTTAACAACAAACCATAATTAAAAAAAAAAATTACCCAATCCGTGGTAATTCATCATAATAATCATCACCGTCTGTTTGTTTGTTTGTTCTCTTTTCTAATTTGAAAGAAGTGAAATTTTTTTTTAAAAAAAAATTCTCAAGACAAACGGACAACAAACAATTTTAGATTTCAACGAGGAAATTAAGCAAGAACGTGTTTACACGCGCGTGTGTGTGTGTGTGTGTGTTTGTTAAGTGCGTGAATGAAGATTTAAAATTAACAAACAAGAGAGAGAGAGAGAGAGAGAATGATAACAATCACGAAATAATTCTCAATGAGTCAATTGATAAGATAATGATAATAAAATTATGCAAAACATTTTTGTTTAAAAAAAAAAAAAATCATGAGAAGAAATTTTTTTTGGAAAAAAATTACGAAAGAACAAACAAGCAGAAAAAAAAACATAATTTTATCTACTCTTAATTAATTAAAAAAAAAAAAATTATATATTCTAAAACCACGCTCGTAATATAAACGTGTCACTAACTCACGATATATACACGAACGAAAGAAACGAAAATTTCGTTTTTCTTCTCCAATAAAAACAACAAATCGACAAAATTTTTTTTTCCTTTCTTTTCCTTTAAAACCGGAAGAAGTTGAAAAAACCGGGAATGGAATGATTTATTCCTGTCTTCCCTCTTCCTCCTCCTCCTCCTTCCCCTTTTTTTTATCACGAATCCCTCGCACGATCGATAAAAAATTAAAAATTTATATACCTAAACGATTTTTTTTTTTTTAATGCCACGAATGATTAATTTATAAAATAAAAACGTGGAACTAGTGAATTTTTTTTTTTAATATCAAAAAAATAAAATTAAATCGTTTCGTAATAAAAAGTCTAGAAATTTCGATGAGTGATGACAACATGGAGGAGGAGGATTGTCGTCCAAAACTCGCGTTTGTCCAGAATGAGTATATGTGTGTCGAATGCTCCGTAACAAACTTAATCACATCTCCGTGAAAATCGTTCGATTTAATTTTTTACGCTCGCGTAATTATTCATTACGCAATCGTAACCTAATAATAATAATAATAAACGTGCGTTCTAGAAAGCAGACGACGCGATCGATCGATGATCCGCGTGACGGATAATCAGTCGATCAATCAAAAATTCGCATTAATCTCGATTTACGGAGTATGTAAAAAAAAAAAATCATAAGAAGATCGTTTAAATAAAGGGATAGTAATTAATAACGTAAATCAACTTACTTTTAATCCTTTGTATTCGGCTTCGGAATCTTTTTCAACGACGGATATGAAAAATCCGGTACCGAATTCTTTTCCACCTCGAAAGCTAAAACCGTAACTGTTGGCTTTAACGTTCGGATATAATTTATTTCCGGTTTTCCCATTTCCTTCTAAATAAATCCCGGTTTCTTTTCTAAGATGTATAGTACGTAGTCTTTTATCAGGTATGTCGTTGCTGGAGGATCTTGAGGAACCGCTCGATGAAGCGACGCTTCCAGACGACGAACAATGACAAATTGATTTCACGTTGTTAAAATCCATTTTTCAATTTTTTCCGTTTCCGTTCCGTTTTTTTTCCCAATACATTTCCATTTGATTTTATTTTTATTTTCCATGACAGTTTTTTCAAACCTGGAACCTGGAATTAAACAAAAACAAAACGATTAGCAATGACTGGAGAAAGAAAAAAAAAAAAAAAAAAAGGAAATTGATTTTTTCGTAGTTAAAAACTTAATAATACTTAAACCTGAATTTTTTTTTTTTTTACCTTTCAGGTATTCGATTCTTCCGGTAATTTAAAGCGGGGGGCGGTCAGGCGGAAGAAGGAGGAGGGGAGGGGGTGGTTCGTGCGCGTGCGTTTCCATCGAAAGCAGTTAAAATTGAACTTTTTTGCCCTTTAACACGATCTTTTCTCGTATTCGATGAATAATAACCGAATGCAATTTTTATATTTTCCTCTCTCTCTCTCTCTCTCTCTCTCTTTGTTTCATTTAGGTTAATTATTCAGAGAGAGAGAGAGAGAAAGTCATTTTGACCGATAAGAGACTCCACTTTTTTTTTTCCTCCTTTAAGAAAATTTAATTATCGATCCGTCGTGATGATTAAATTAAAAAAATTTTTAATGTCTGGAATTTCATTCCAGTTTTTTTTTCCAAAAAAATTTTAATTTAAATTTTAAAAAAAAATCACAATAAGAGAGAAAGAGATAAAAATTATGCGATAAGAGAGAGAGAGAGAGAAAGAGAGAGAAAAAGAAAGGTCAAAAATAACATCAAGATCCTACTTCCAAATAATTCACTCCTTCATTCATTCATTCATTCATTCGCTCATTCAATCACTCACTTATTCATTCATTTATTTCAATCGCATTACAAATAATAATAATGATGATGATAATAATGATACATCGAGGGCATTAATCATAATCGAATAAAAAACAAAAAAAAAAAAAATTTTTGCTTGTATTGGAAAAAATTTAAAATTTTATTAACGGTTTTTTTTTTTTTTTTTAAATGCACGTGGCAGAAGACAATTTCGTATATCGAATTCGTAAATATATTCGTTTGTAAAAAAAATTTAAGTGACGTCAGAATTCGTTTTTACAGGTGCAAAAAAAAAAAAACATTTAGCAGAAAGTAAAAAAAAAAAAAATGAATGAATGGATGAATGAGAAGAGTAAGAGGGGGTAAAAACAACAACAACAAACAACAAACAACAAAACGAGTTTTCTAACAGAAGTCGAGTTAAAAAAAAAAAAAAAACTTTCCCCGAAAAAAAATATATACAAAATAATCCGTTTAAAAAAAAAAAATGGCCGACGCATTTATTCAAAGAAAATTTTATAATTAGAATTTTTTTGTTTTCTCACCTTAGGGAGGAGATGATGGGAGTGAAGGGGAGGGAAGGGGAGGGAGGTGTAAGAGGAATAATAAACAAGAATAAAACACAAGAGGTTATAGGTTAACAATTTGTTAAGAGAAAGTTAATTTTTAACAAAAAAAAAAAAAAAACCCACAAACAAATGATTTTACAAAAAATTGTTGTTGTTAGGATAAATTTAACCGGTAAATTAAAAAGCAATCTAGTTCCACGACGACAATACGAACAGGTACGAAATAATATAAGAAAATTAGGAAAAAAAATTTTTTTCCTTTTTTGATCGTTTTAAAATGAATTTTAACGATTTTAAAATTAACCGGAAACGTTTGGGGTTAAGAATCACAAACGCATTACGATCAACGTCAAGAAGAAAAAAACAAAATGGCGTCGATTTCTACACGAGAATTTTTTTTAATCGTCTCAACTTTATCCGGAGATAGAAGAAGAAAAAAAATGAAAAAATTTTCATCCTTTCGCTCGATGCGAAAACGAAGACATCGATGCGATTACGTAAATCATAGAGTAAATAAAAAGTCATAGAGTGTGTGCGTGTGCGTGTGCGTGTGTTGATATAAATGGCAATAATCGATCGAGAAAGAGAAACAAGATGATCGAATGTCGCAGGTCAAATTATTTATTACCTCTAAATTCACGAATGCGTTCGTTCGTTTGTTTGTTTGTTTGTTTGTTTGTTGCGTCGTCGTCGCCATCGTCATCGTCATCGTCTATCCATTTTTAAACCCTTTGGGTATCGTACAACTTACACAACATTATCTCGTTTTCTCATCGTCGGCCATATTTAAATGTGAATCTTTTTTTTTTTTTTTACGTAGGCGCGTTACGTAATTCTTCGCGATCATCTTTTTTTTTTTCATTCCTATCACGAAAGCCGAACGCGCGTAATTTTTTTTTGAATTTCATCGCGTCCACCTTGATCGCGACGACCGCCATTTTTATAAATAACATTACCGGAATCATCATTATTGTTATTATTATTATTATCATAACAACCGCCACCACCATCGTAATTGTTTTTATTTCTTCCTTATGTCTTCTCTGTCACGTGTTTTAACTGTCAAGGTTGTTTCGAATTCTAAAAAAACTTTTTTTTCCGTACTGTACCGCCGTGTTTCTATCAAATGTCAACTTTAAAAAAATTCTAGAAAAACTCCTCCCTCCCTCCCCCTCCTCCTTTTTCATCCCCTCCCCTTTGGATTTTTTTTTGAAGTCGAACAGTCGAATAACATTTCCAAAAAAAAAGAAAATATTTAAAAAATTTCAAGTAAAAGGTTACTGGAATACTCGTAAGGGGGCGTGTCGCAATCGTAATAACACGAACAAACAAATTTCCCACGAATCTATCTCTTTCTTTCTTCTGGAACAAACAAAGGAACAAAGGAACAAACAAAAAAAAAATTTTCCAGCTCGGTTCTCCTCTTTTTGGTACGAAAGGTTTTTTCCATCCTTTCCCATCACTTGAAATTTGCGTTCGTCGAACGTTTTTTTTTTCTTCCTTCTTCTTTCTTCTGTCCCGATGAGAGAGTTCGGCTCATCCTGTTGTCATCGTGAATAATTTTCCATAACCTTGATATCGATTCTCCAGCAAGGAAGAGAAAAAAATAATGAGGTGAAATCCAAGTTGGCATTTCGAGTCAGTCAGGTCGATTATATCGAAACGATATCCTCGAAAAAATTAAATCGTTCCCTCTCTCTCTATCTCTCTCTCTCTCTTTCTTATCTTCTTATATATATAATTCACATTCTTTGTTTTCTAGGTCGTTTCTCTTCGTATCGTTTTCTCATCTTCGTTTTTCTTGTTCCGTCGGCAAAATACAACAAACGAAGGTCTCTCATTAATATGTTTTTCCCTTTCTCTTTTACTATCGAAAAAAAAAAAAATTACGCCGCGATTTTCCCTTATAAAAAAAAAAAAAAAGAACATTTTTTTATTATTGTTATTTGCAACGATTCGTCTAAAACCACGTTCGTTTTGACAACGGTGTCAACAACATCATCGGTTAAATCGTCGCTTCCGGGTCCGCTTTTTATTTTATTTTATTTTACGATTTCGCCGACATATTGCTTTTTTCTTAGAAATTTATTTTTTTTTTGTAACATTTTCCTCCATTTTGTTTGTATGCGTCGAGTCGAACCGGAAATCAAATTCGTAAAAATAAAACGCTGGAGAATTTTTTAAAAATAAATTTTTTCTTTCTTCTTTCCTCCTTTGGAAATCACCCGAAACAACTTCAACGGGTGATTTTTCACTCGTTAGTTGTCTGCTGTTTCCAAAAGGTAATAATAAAATAATTTTTCATTTAACAAAAAAAAAAATTACTCAACATCTAACACACACACACACGTGTGTAATTATTATTAATAACTATCCGTAAATCCGTTAAATTAAGAAATCTAATATCCGGAGGTTGTTTTGATTACACACACGATGGAGAATCGTTAACCCGTAACGTCAGGTAGGTACCCGACAGGTACCTACCGACGGGTACCCGTCCGGTACCTGAATAACACCCGCCGAATGAAAAAAGTAATCCGAGATCCTTTAAATTTTTTTTTAAACAGCCAAACGAATTCTTATCATTGTTATTATTATTATGGTATTTCAGGTTCGAACTGTTTGTTATCGGGGGGGGGGGGCAGGGGGGAAGGGAAATTTTTTTTAGACGAGTTTTGCAAGGTGAAATTATTTTTGTTTACAAAAAAAAAAACGAGTCGTCGTCATTTTGGTCAATGGGTTGTGATTTACCGAAAAAAAATTTTTGTTTGTTATCATTTCCAGATGATGTTCCAGTAAAACAGGAGAGAAATCGATGACGTTATCAATAAAAACCTGACAGATAAACCTAGTTTTATCAATATACGAAAGAATTCTCAACGTCAAACACATCATGGATGACGAGTGAGTTGATTAACGAAACCGTGACGGTGTCATAGTGTGTGTTTGTTTTCGTCCGTTTCCGGTTTTACGAAAAACCGCAATAGGAGTGAGAAGATGATTTCGTTTGTTTTTTTTTACGCCGCCTTTCCGCCCCCTACCTCCCCTCACTCTCTCTCTCCCCAGAAAAGAAACTTACGACATTTTGTGTCACGCGCGTAAAAAAAATTTTAATCACAATATCGAGAAAATCCATTATTTATCATTATTATTATCATCACAAATAAACATCAGTTAAAGAAAGTAAACAAACAACAAACAAGAAAAAACAATAAAAATAAATCATCGTCGTACGTACGCCGCGTTAATTTTTTACAACCGAATCAATAAAACTTTTTCCAGGAACTTGAAAAAAACAAATTTTTGTTTAGAATATTCATGGATGTTGTTATTATGTTAATGATAATTGTCGTTCTTGTTTGTTGTTTGTTGATGATGATGATGTTCGTTCGTGTGGTTGTCATGATTGATTGTGTGGTGACATTATTTTCTTCTTTTTCTTTTTTTTGCATTAAATTAAAAAAAAACTCATCCGAATTTTGCGTTTTTTTTTTTTTTCATCTGTCTCTCCTCTCCCTCTCTCTTCTCTCTCCCCCTCCCCCTCTCTCTCTTCTTTTGTCTCTCTCTTTTTAAAAACTCGACTTTCTTTATTTTATGCAGATACATTAATTTTTTTTTTTTTTTGTTTTCTTTTATTAGAGAAGTCATT